TTCTGAAGCTAGGGGATATGTAATTTGAACCTTCCCAGGCTCCGTTATGGATATGTCACCATGCCTAACATGCAACAACTTTGAATAGCACTGTCTTGATCCTTCAGCTATCTTTTTTGTAGATTTTTAAGGCCATATAGAACACATATCCAGTTTGATCCCCTGTATAACCCAAGTCACAGAAAGTCATCTAGTTATTTTCACATTATATGTTCTCTAAAAGCAGACAAGTTTTATGTAAAACCTTCTAGTAATCCATCAATTCTCTGCGCAGTTTGCTCTAATAGTTAGTGAACACTTCTACTAAAATGTGTGATTTAATATGCATTAAACATACTTGTTTTTTAATTTGAAACCCAGGCTTTTGTTATGCTTATCTCCACCAGACTGCAGAGACTTCAAAACCAGCATTTCAAGGCATCTCATAAGGTACTTATGCAGTACTGAGCCACTAGAGTCTTCTCTCAAGCACGATTTCCCCGAGAGGTCTCAGAGCATAGTAAAGCCAATCTGGAAGAGGCTTCTTGTATTTATGTATTCCAGACCTTCTTTATAAATGTACTTGATGGCCAAACTATTGTCTATCAATGCCAAACAGATTGTCTATCCATTGCCTATGTCCTCAGATCTGTTTTTCTCTCGTATGGGTCAGAGTATTTCTAATTAACCTGTACTTCCCTCTAGGGTTCATTTTTGGCAATCTTTTAAGTCTATGATCTCATAAATTATTTCAAATCAGGAATGGACTTGAATCATTTTCACTACAGAAAGCTGACAGTCTCCAAAAGTTACTTCTAGCAGGCAGCTGCTCCTTTTTCAAATGGACCTCTGCTTTGCACTGGTTTAGAAACTCCCTTTACTTAATCACAAACAGTCTGGGAACAGGGCTATCAAGCGTATGCATTGGGAATTTAAGATATTCTTAGAAGCCACCTCCAGAGGATGTTGATGAGGGCAGGTAACTGATTTGAGCACCTGAGCTGAAATCACATGTTTAGTGGCATCTGTGGATATAATCTCCATCTATGGAACAGATACAGGGAAAGTATAAGTACTGGGAAAAAAGAAATCCATTTTAGAGAAGGCAGGAAGAAAGCCTGAAGCTGTAACATGTGGGATTCACCTAGGCAGAGCTGGAAAAAATGGTTGCACTTTGTTTACAGTAGCAAAGGTTGTCCTGGAGCATCTCTGAGCTTGGGCTTGCCTAGACTTTTTGTCTGCAAATGTGAGCTGAGTTTACAGCACTTCTTGTTTGTGTTATCTTCACTTCAGAAATCATTAGTTTTGATCAGCCTGAATCATTCAGTGATTTAATGTTTCTAAAGTGCTGTTACTGCAATTTGCCCAGTCGGGATATCAGGGAGAGAATACAGCTGTGCTCTGTGCAGTCTGGGGTGGGTTTCTATTTCTGTTCTGCAGCACATTCGTCACACACGGTGGTTTCTGTCAGGTTGTCAGACTAGGCCAAATTCAGATCTAATGTGCGCAGATACATGGCAAGACAGCTCCGATTTAGACTCCGTGTCTTCCATCTCCAGACGATAAGGATGAGAGAAATTTCCTTTCTTCCTCACCAGATAAAAATACAAAGATGAACAGCTTATACTCCAAAGATTAGAAAGAACATATGACAGCTCAAAATCACAGCATTCTCAGTTGTCATAGAAATGTTAATAAAATTAATTATGAATTAGATTTCAATGTGCATCTCACAGTCTGTACTACAAATTCTTTGTAATGTTAGTTTTCAAGTAACCACATGGTTCCGCTTACCTTCGTGACTACTTTAATAATTACAAAAGTGGCAAAGGTAATGATAGTAACAAATAACTAGCAGGCATTAGAGAATTCATATGAGACATTCTGTAAGCATTTTTACAGTGAATGCTCCATTAACCTTTTAGGCAAACACATTTAATTTTGAAAGAAAAAATATCCTCTTTATAATTAAGACAGATTTAATCCTATTTAATTGGAATTGCTAACACTGGTAAGGACTGTAAGATGATATACTAAATAACACAGGTCATCCAGACAAAATACATCTATCTCCTGTCTAGTCTGTTCTATATACAGCACTTGAAAATTAAAGAGTTTGACAAGAAGATAACCCTGAAATCCTGTTACGGTAGTCACTTCAAGCAGATAAAACAGCTGGTGAAAAAAATGGGGAACTATTAATAGTAAATAGAGAGTTGTTCTACAAAAACCATTAAGTACCATCAGCCTCCTTCATGGCTAGTAATAGAAAATCACAAAAGATAACGTGATCCATTTAGTCAAACGACTCCTGAACACCAGCTCATCCCCCTCCTGAGAAGCCTGAAGCCTGGCTTCATCATGTCTTTTTCTAGTGTTCAGAGGGATGGTCCAATACAAAGGAAGCCAGTATGCAGTGTTTAAATTTGATTTCCAATACATTATTAACTATTATGTACAAATTGCTGAAACAATACGATAAATGTGACAAGAAGATACGGAAAGATGAACAGAAGCAGATTTACTAATAGATTCAATCTTCAGACCTGAACAGAAATCCGCTGCACCATTGACTCAACTCCAGTGAGATCAGATGCGCTGCATCTGCTTATAAAATGAGCTGGATATGGCCTTTCTATTTCTTGACATGATCAGAATTGGGTTCACATCAGTTGGTCAACTCACAGCTCAGAGAAAGGCAGTGGGCACAAAGCTCTTCCCATGGTTACATAGTTCTGTAGGAAAAAATCTGCAGATCAAAATGCTTTTAAATCCCTTCTGCAAAGTGTTTTCTTCAAAACTCAATCCCTCTCTATTTGCATAATCCTTTATATACCTGTTAAAATCCAAGTGTTTTAGGAAAGCTTCCACAGCTTTGTGTATAAGCCACTGCATTGGCTAGAGAGGCTGCATGTCCATACTTACATCTGACTGTTGTGAAGTACCATGGCATCCCATAACAACACATCATTTTACTCTGATGCTGTGTCAAAGTGACCTTAATAGCAAGAGAACATCAGGCATTTGCTGATGTTAAGCTCGTTGAAGAAACTATTGGTAACCCTCACAAAATTTATCTTTATGTTAAGGAGTTAATGTTGACCAACCACAGATGGAAGCTTGAACCTACCTGTCATATGTAGTGCTTAGGGGCATGCGTCCCTCACAGGGGGAAGCAGGAATAATGGAGTAGCCGGGCAGTAGAAAGGGCTCCTTCCACCCTCTGCTCTGCTTGTCTCATTTTCTCATGTGTTTATATGCACCTCACTATGTAACTGTGGTTCAAACAGCCAAACTCTCAGTGACTAGAGCATGACAGTCAAAGGAAAACTCCAGAACAAGCATCACTTCGTTCATATAGCACATCTGCAGGACTCAGAAAGCATGCAAGCCCGTCTGTTTCCTCTTGGCATCTATTCATTCCATAACGCAACAGAAATGTAATTGTTATTATATCAAGGCACTCCAGGAAGTACATTTCCAGGATGATTATTGCTTTCTGCAAGAACTACACTCATCTGTCTGTCAGCCCACTACTTATTAGCTAAGGCAGGCAGAATTACACTGCCTTGTTGATCAACTTGGACATGAATGTTTCAGGTATCACTAACACCAGTCTTGTCAGTAAAACCTCCGTTGAGTATCTTTTAGTGTGAGCAATATGGTATACAGATAGCACGCAACATTGTGATCCCAGCACCACGATGGTTCTGTACCAGCGGGAAGCGTGTGCACCATTCACAGAGACAACGAAGAGGCAGTACTGTCACCATCTCCAGACAAGCTAGCAATGCTCTTCTGCAGTCTTTACTTTCAATAGAAAGCACTGAAACTGAATTCACAACCAACAATTACAGGGAGAGGAGGTCATAAACCTGTCAAAATAAAACTTTTGTGTCATCCAAGGTGTGAACAGAGTTGTCTTCTGGGTTAAAGTAAGGACTAACATCAAGAATAGAAATAACTTAAGAAGCAGTCAATGCTTGAGCAGCATTTCAGTAAAAGAGACTAAAAAAGAGAAGCTTTGTATGCTTATTGTGTAAATGACATATAGAAAATGGTTTTTATTCCAGCCTTTGCGTAGATATTTTCTCATGAATGTACAGCAGGAGCTTTCTGAGTCCCTTCTGTTTATGTTTTAATCTATCACCTACTCCTGCAACATTAGCTGTGCCAAGTGGCATAAATCCCCTCACACAAACTTGTGTATCTGTGTAAAATCTTGAGGGGATCTATGACCACAGCATCTGAGCATCCAAGCAGTTAAATACACAGCTAAACTCCCTAGTAAAGGCAACATCTGTAGCCCAAGAACAGGACATCAGGGAAATACAAAGCATCTCCATGAGCATTAGGACTAATGAAGCCTAATTTCTGTTTTAACTCTTCCACAGCTGGGCTTCATACTTTCTTCCTCTCATGGCCTCTCTACTTGTCCATAAGGGTGCACTTACGCTGAAGTATTTCTCTATACTAAGAAGTGAGATCACACTGAAGCTGTTCCTTCCTTCATTACACCCACCAGTGGAACCTCTCTAATACTTAGGAAATATTCTGTTTTAGAGACCTTTACCTTTCTAACAAATTTGGTTGAAATTGGCCTATGGTTGGAAAAGTTATCCCTGCAAAAGTTGGTAAATGCATGCACGCACAAGTCACAGCACAGTTACACAGGAGTTGTTTCCGTAGGTAAGGAAGTTAAAAATTGTTTTGCTGAAACATTACTGCAACGGCAGGTGCTCAGAAGTTGATACAAGTCTGTTAGGACCTTGCTTACAGCACTACAGAAGTACACTTTACCCGAGCTAAGTATGAAAGGTCAGTCTGAAGCATAAGTGCAATGAAAAGGCAAACTGCTTAGTGCCCAGCTGTGAGAGAGCATTTCTGACAATCTGGTTCAACACATCTCAAAGTAGTGTGCCCAGAAACAGCATTTTCTGCTCTTTACTTCTTTCACTCCTGAAATGTTATGGCCGAAAATAAAATGCATTTAACAGAATTTTGATAATTTACAGATGATTCAGAGTATTTCTGCAGATAGGTAGAGACAAATATAAATTTTATTATAACGTATCATTTTTAGAAACCTTTAGAAAACAACAAAACTTACGTATTTCGCAGTTTGCACCAACCCATCCATGTGGACAATGACAGGTGTAACCACCAGGCTGATCTATGCAAGTTCCAGCATGGTGACATGGGTTGCTGTCACAGTCATTCACATCAGTTTCACATTCTTCACCTTACATCAGAAAAAAAACAAAACAAAACTGAACTTCTACATAGCGGGTGCCTCATGTAGCAGGTACATCATCATTCATTTAATTTTTCTCTAGCTGCAAAACACCTTATGGCTCAATAGCATCCTATTCTCAGAACATCAAAAATATTCTACAACTGTTTCAAAATAAGTCTCACATAGCCTCCAAGAAGGAAACATTAACCTCATCCAGCCAGGTGAAAACAAAGTCTGAGGGCTCAGTGACTTGATTAACCTCACCCATTTTACAATGGAAAGCTCAGTCTTTTCCAAAAAATACCCTTTAATTAGCACAGATCAAAAAGCACCATTTGATCTACAAAACAGCTCTGAATGGGTTTATCTATCACTATCGCACTGGATGTTACCTTACCTGACTAAGCGAGCATCAGGCTGTAAATTATCTTGACAGCAGGTATTTGGATTACACCAATCATGTCAGTTTAAATACAAGGCCAAGGGATTAAATGGGCTCTTACCATTACTCTAAAAGTGTAAATCGATTCATAACACGCACTGTAGGGCTTTTAGCAATTGCATATTCAGGTAACTGAATGAGCTGTTTCTTCAGCTCGCAGTAACTAAGGTCAATGCTAAAACATTTTCCAGTTTCAACAGCATCCAATTAGCATATTGGCTTACCTGGAAGTCTTCAAAATGTTGCTTTCAAAATGCAATCTAGTCTCAAGCAGTAAGGTCATAAGGCACGTTAAATAGCTGTTAGCTCAGTGAAGTCTCTTCAGTAACAGGCACTTTTTGACACAGAATTTTTGAAGTTCAAAGCAGTTGCAAGTAATATCGATAATTTTTCATTCTCACTAGACTCATTACAATTTAGCAAAGTCCAGATTAATTTATTTCCTTAAAGAGACATAGTCTTACTTGGTATTTGTCTTCTTTTGGACAAAGTGAATGCTGACAACTAGATGTTCTGTGTAACGTACAAATTACTTGCCTGCATATCCAGGTGCACAAATACACGTAGCATTTAGACCTTCGCTGTCACAAGTGCCGCCGTTCTGACAGTTGATGTTAACACAAGGATCTTTGTATAATTCACAGTGCCTTCCTGAAAAGGTAACATTAGTAACTGCCGTTAACATGACCAGTACTGACAGCATGAAATTAGTACATGCAATAATTTAACCTCGCCCAGATGAGCGCAAGGATACGCAGCTTCCAAAGCTGTCCTGTTTGGCTAATGCCCACAAGACTAACGCCATATAATTTGTGGTGGCTAAGCTGTCACATACATGCCTCTTCTTCGCTCTTCCCACCCACTGAGGCTTTGGGACAGGAGAGGTAAGGCAATTTCTGCTAACAAGAACTGGTGGAGTTTCGATGAAAAACCAGTGGTATAATAAAGTATAATCCGATCAGCTATCTAATATTCTTCAGTAAAAAGTAAACAATAATTGCCTTCAGTAATCATTTTATGTAATGACTTCTTTAATAACATACATAAGCATTCGGATGCCTCTCATTGACTTTGGCAGGAAACTGAGTAGTATAAATAAGAGAAATTAATTTATTCAAATGTATAGTTAGAAGTAAATAATTGGGTTGCTCAGCTTCAGGCCTCTACTGTTGATCCCTCATTCTCAGGTGTAGGCTATGTGAATTCAGCAGCTTTGCCTTGCAGAAGGCAGTGCAAGACCTATCTGGCATACAGAACGTAAAGCACAGCAGATTCCCACCTAGGATGGGGAGAGAGGCTCTGCTGCCACTGCTACCTGCATCATTTTCTCTGATCTGATAAAACTAGAAAACATCAATACATGGAAGATCTAATTAGTGCATGGATGGCATGAAACACACAAAAAAAATAAATGTACACATGTGAATAATGAATGATTTGTGGGACTTTATAATGTATCTGCTAGAGTGAAATTAGCTTGCATTTAAAATACCTGCTTAAATTTATCCATTAATGTAAGTTTTAAGTCTAAATCTAGATCTTATTACCATTCTTCACTTGGGAATGAATCCAAAGTGACCACTTAGCTAAAATCCTAATTATCTTCAAGTTTTCCCATTCTTATACTTTTGACGAGAATTTCAGCAAACTGAAGGGCAGAACAGGCTTCCGAATGCTTCCGTGTGATAACACTTACAAATTACAAACACATCTTTCACTTTTAAAGGTGGTTCATGTTTCTAAATCGTTACAGTCCTGCAAACTGTAAAGGTGCATAGTCAGTCGAAGCATAAACTCATATTGTTTATTATGTATAAAAACTGCAGTACAGCTTGGGCATCAGGAAAATGTTTCTAATCATGAGACAGTGAACGACAGCGAAGGAATTCTGTTGCTTGTGAAGATTACAGAACCCACAATGATGGAGGACTTGTAGAGGCCAGACAAATACATATGGAAAGCGGACACGCAGCTGATCCTGCTTTATTCCTTCCCAACCTCTTTCATGAATATTGATTGTATTGCACTGGAACTGGGCAGTTTGTGAATTTGAATTTGGCGAGTTTGAGATGTAGAACTAGACAGAAGTAAAATTAACAAGAAAATAGAGTCTTTAGAGAAAAGAAAATGAGAAAGAAAAATCAATACAAAAAAGGAAGAAATTGGACACATCATATATCAGATGCACGTACACAAGCAAATTTATTGAATGATTGAATGATTAGAAGGAATGAACATAGTTCTCTAGTGTTCAACACTGCAGTTATATACAGCAATGCAAACTTATGCGAGTTATAAATACCAACCATCTCAAGTTAATAGTCATAATTAAAAAATTACATAAAAGTAATTTATTTAAAATATTTTTTAATATATATACATCACACACACATGTACTCACTTGCTACAGACCTGCTGAAACCATTTGGCGAGTCTGCCAGCAGCAAAAAGGCAGAGCGCTCCAGCCCGAGCATCCTGCAGCCAAGCCACAGCAGGCAGCAGAGCCAGCAGCCCCAGGCAGACGCTGGCGACAGCCCTGTCTGTGCCAGGCAGGGAGCGCAGGCAGGAGGGCAGCGGGTACGGGTACGGGGCAGGAGGAGAGCTCAGGGGTGGTAAAACCAAGGCCTCTAATGGCCCACGTAGTATCTTAAGCCCAGCTCTACTCATTAGCGTCACTGAAAACCTTAAGTATGGGAATGAAGAAAGCTCAGTAGCTGGCAAAAGCCGCTCACAGGCCCAGGTCCCCTGCTCTCACCTGAAGCACGACGTGCTGCGCACACAGTGCTTCCAGCTGCACATAGGGGTCGGCTGAGCACAGAACGGAGGCATAACATTACGGTTAAGTGCTCTTTAAACTGTCACAAAAAGCTGAGGGCCATTTGCTCACTAAGACTCTAAAATGATAAATTCTGTATCTATTGTCAAAGAGCAGTGCAATTGCCAGCATGAAATACATATTTAGCCACAAGCAGCTGTTAAGTGAGCATTACTTATCAACACAGATAAGGACTGATACTCTTAGTGAGAAAATGCTGGGGTAACGTTCTTTAAAAGAATTATTCTGTGCAAAATATATATATATATATTTTTAATAGTAATAACATACCAAATTACATTTAAAATGTTCTCACCGTACGATTCGGAAACAGAATACACAAAAAAAGTATCATTTTAGCCCTCCACAGAGGAACACATCACAGAGAGCTGACATGTGCTGCTCTGGGTAAAGCTGAAATCTACTGCAAGATAAAAGATTTTGTATAGCAAAACACATACTTGTCTGCTCTATTTTATAAATTAATTAAGAAATGCCAAAGACCAACTCCATTCGAACATATCTAGGGATAGCTGCCACCAACACAGGAAAGCAGTCACAGACCTACTACTGCCTCTGGGCTTTACAGTCTTCTAAATGAACAATCAACATAAAACTTTCATTTTTACTCCTTTGTGCTAATCTGATTCAAATACTAATCTTTTATTACTATATTTTTAACTCACTTCACTGGAGAAAATAAAATAATTTGGAAAGCCCTCCATGTAATGGCTCCTAACAATATCTGATGAAAGAATTTATTTAACAGTTATGTTTTCTTTTAAAAACCCATAACTTTCTAACATATCTTAAAAACAGCAGAAAAAAGTACACCTAAGAAGAACAGAGAGAAGCCATTTGTCCCCAGACAAGGACATACATTTTTCATAGACCAGCTAAATCTGAACTACTCATTTGAATAAAGATTATGGGATCAGGATCTACATTGAAGTTTTTTTCTGTTAGTTGTAGATGTGGGATTTATTTCTGCTCAGTGGAGGATATTGTGTATCTCTGTTTGTAACAGAACCTACCATAAAAAACACAGAGACCAGTTCAAAACACAAGAGGCAAACCCCACCCACCTTCATATTCAGCAAGGCACACGCACTCATAGCTGTTGACGAGGTCTCTGCAGGTGGCTCCGTTCTGGCAGGGTGCAGAAAGGCACTCGTTGTATTCCTCTTCACAGTAAAGACCGTGGTAACCTAAATCACACAAAGAGGAAACAAAACCAGCTATGAAACACTTCCCAGCACAAATTAACAACTAGGTAACTATAGCCGGTGGGCAGATGCTTGCTAATTGAGATATACTGTGCAGACAGATACATGTTAAGACACTGATTTTGAGGACATCTGCTCCCCATGTGAAAATTACCAAAAAAAATCCTGGAAGCACAATGTTCTGAGAGAAGCCCCAGCCGCTGCCCCTGCGACAAAACTACCACGAGGCTGTAAACACGGAGGCTGGTGACCAAGGCTGCTGGGACCAGCATGCACACCCGCACTCTGACTGTAAAAAGGAATAAACAAATATCGACGTACCTCCTAGATTTCTTGGATCCTTGCGTCAAAGCCACTTTTCATCAAAGTGGTGATAATTGCGTAACAGTAGTTAGAATGCCAATATGTTTTAACTTTAATGCTGTACAATGTCAAAACACTGTAGAAGCATTAAGATACTTTATTTTTCAGAGCATTCCCAAGCTGTAGGCAGGTATTGTGGTCTGGTTACGCAGACACAGAAAGTAGGAGCACAGAAAAGCTGCGAGAGCTGTTAATGCCCACTGAGTCATTTGTATCATGAGGTAAGAAATAAGGAGTTAATCCACTTGAAATAGCACTTTTCCCGTTATTTAGCATGCCATATGGTAATTAATCTTAACATAGTTGAAATGACTTTCTAGACATAGTGTATCAGGTCAAAGTAGTACCTACTCATATTAAGTAACAGTGTTAATTAGTATAGTGTAACAGAGGAAATAAACTAGCTGTAATGCTAAAACATGTTTGCCTGATAATATTTGTTACTTGATATTAAATAGGAAGAATCATAAGCATGGTCATTTTGAAGACTATTATATTTGATAACAAGAAGCTTATTTAATTCCTCTTCGACAGACCCAGGTTATACTTTTGTTTAATGAAAAGCTTGCTCTCTTCTTTCTTGTTACTTTATTTCTTTCTTTCTTTCTTTTTTTCTTTCTTTCTTAAGGTAGGGGCTTTCCAACTCCAAGAAACAATGTCTAAATTTACAGGCAATTGATAAATCAACAACAAAAAAAATAGATCAGTCATAATGCTTAGAAGTACAAATAATGCATTTAAGTGCAACATAAACACTGCTTTCTCCCTGACAGACAGGCATTAGTGCAGAAGAACTGCAAAGCTGCTAGTGTGTTTGACCAATGCAAAAAATTTGCTCGAGTATTTCTAAATAGTTTTTTCCCCTCTTTGGGGGTGCAGGGAGCACTTCATAATTAGCCAAATTACCTTTAGGGGAAGGTTCAGAATTTAATAGATTAAACAGAACATGTTCTCATCTTTTTGAAAGTACAAATAGAAATAGTACAAATATTTCTACTAAAACATGCATCTTTCATAATTTTTACCCCTTTCCTGGAAATTACAGCAAATAATTGAGTGACCAGATTTTTGCATTTTCTACATCTCTTCAACTGTTAGCTACGTGCTGCTAGTAACTGAAAGTCCTACCATCTGACTTGGGGCATCACACAGCCTGCCTCCCTCTAAAGCAAACCAAAGGCCACGTAGTTAACATCACCTGAATTGACTAATTAACACAAATTAGTGCTTTGGCTGTTTTAGTAAATGGTTTGGCTTCATAAAACCATAGCACCATCTCTTCTTTACCCATCCAGAGTAAGGTGAGGATAGAAATTCTAGCCCATACTGTTGTCCACAGAGTAATGCCAGAGACACTTTGTACACACTGGCTGCTGCACTCTTTGTCATGTTGGGTTGTTATTTTATCATATTTGCTTGGTACTGAAAACAATGTAGCCTAGGAATTTTTTTATTTGTTTTAAACAAAAACTTGCCTCTATTTGTCAACTTTGCTCAATGTTCTTGAAATGTCATTCTGATGAAGGTCTATATTACACATGAAAAAAAGGCAGTTTCAAATAAGCTTTCATATTAAAAACATTGTTTCACAAAGAAAAGTCATAGAAAGAAGATCTGTCATGCTATGTTAACAGTACATAAGGACACTCTTCCCACACCCCTACCATGGATTAATTTTGGTTAAATCAGTTAAACATTTAACCTTGTCTAATCATAGCCAATATAGGTGATTCTGCCCCTCTGCTCTGTTCTGGTGAGAGCCCACCTGCAGTCCTCCATCCAGCTCTGGAGCCCTCAGCACAGGACAGACTCCCCTGTTGAAGCGGGGCCAGAGAAGGCCACAAAAACAATCAGAGGGCTGGAGCACCTCTCCTGTGAGGAAAGGCTGAGAGAGTTGGGGCTGTTCAGCCTGGAGAAGAGAAGGCTCCGGGGAGACCTTACAGCAGCCTTCCAGTACTTAAAGGGAGTCTATAGGAAAGATGGGGACAAGATTTTTAGCAAGGCCTGTTGTGACAGCACAAAGAGTAATGGTTTTAAACTAAAAGAGTGTAGATTTAGACTGGATATAAGGATGAAACTTTTTACGAGGGTGGTGAAACACTGGCACAGGTTGTCCAGAGAGGTGGTCAATGCCCCATCCCTGGAAACATTCAAGGTCAGGTTGGACAGGGCTCTGAGCAACCTGATTCAGTTGAAGATGTCCCTACTCACTCTACGGGGGTTGGACTAGATGATCTCGAAAGGTCCCTTCCAACCTAAAGCATTCTATGATTCTGCTCCCCTCGACCTCCTGTTAGTGTGATGTAATGCCATGAATATGTACTTGTAATCTATAATATAATATAATACCATGCACTGAAACAGTGTTTATATGCTTTTTAAAATCTTGATTTACTCATTATATATAGCTATAAAAGCAATTAGTGAATGAGCATACAAGGAATAAAGATGCAATGGGCATCAATAAGGATGCCAAGGAAAAGGTCTAAAATACAAAGTGTAGATTCTGCAGTGTGACTTTACTTCTTCAGATAATCTTAATAATAAATTAATAATAAGTCAGTAGCAAAACTTATAGCCATGAAAAGAGGGTAACTTTCCTGAACAAAGAACCAAAGAGAGGGGCAGATTCCCATCTAAGTAAGTGGTAATCTATATTCACTCTCCTGGTGTAAATTTTTCCCCAAATTCTCACAGAACCATAGAAAAGACAACAAATGTCACGTCCAGACACCATTTCCATCCACCTTCCCACTCCCTATTATGGATAATTCAAAAGAAAACTGTATAAAGATACAACATGTTAGTACTACACAAGATGTATATGCAATATACCCATTTGGTTCTGCATAAAATTACCTTTTCATAGTAAATAGCTGGACTAATAGCTTATTAAGAAACATTTCAGAAACTCTTTCTCCAAAGCTGCTAGCCAGACAATACAGAATGAATTATGCTAAATGTTATGAGTTTTCTCATTAGCCTACGATGAAGTTTATTTAGCTTATGATGAAGGGAAGTATCCTTATGTCGTGACATCTGTAGCCAACATACAAACCACCAAAACCAGAAAACTGAAAAGAAAAACATAAGGGAAATTCCCTGTGCTGAACACAGATGTAATTAGATATTTTCCAAAAAGATGTTTTCCACTTCTCACCTTTCAAAGGGAACAGAGGGAATTTTGTGGCTGAATAGTTGTCCGGTTTCCCAAATCAGTACGAGCCATCACATCACTTCCTGAGCACTAAGCCAGCCCACGCTGCCAGGCGCTGCCCACACCGAGGGGAAGGTATTTTCTGTCTCCATGAGAGATCTCGCCCACGCACGCTCTCGCCCTCCTCGTCCTCACCCCAGTGCCAGCAGCATCCTCGGCCTGGTGGGATGGGGAGAGCGGGCACCCCGGGGCAGGGCAGGGCAGGGCAGGGCAGGGCAGGGCAGGGCAGGGCAGGGCAGGGGAAGCCAGGGCGTGCTGTGGTTGCGGGGCCCAGAGGCGCCGGCGCGCTCCTGACAAGAGCTGCTCTTGGTGTGACTGCTTGGGAACGAGACTGATACACAAACCACGCGTTCTACTGAATCCACACATATGTCTTCAAAAAGACTATACAAATAATTTCTATATTTTTATTAAAGAATTTCGATTGAAACAGGAGGATTTTTCATAGATAACTTCAGAATAGCAGATTCTAGTACAGTTGCTTCCTCTCTTTCTAGTAACACTACGAGTCTGCTGCTTTTACATTTGCAAGCAGTGCCAAATACCGCTATTTGCATCTTTTGTGGTGCATAACATTTCTGTGGACACATTCAGAAAGAAAGAAACAATACCTACATTAACATTGCTTCTCCAGCTGCTGTGCCCTCAGCAGGGAAAAAAAACATATTGGGCATTGCATCTTCAAAAAGGGCAACGAATATTATGAAACTCTTCTTTTTCCAGGTCCCTAGACGTTGGCTGTGCCTTCAATAACAGCACCTTCATGAACTCAAGCAGAACTTGCCAGTGATGGTCCCATTCTGCTGTGCTCTCTTCAGAGGCTGGGGAATGGACAAGGAACCTAAAAGAGAACCTTAAAATAAAGATGTCCATATGTTGTCTCTTCTCCCTCTACATGACTGTCCCTCTGCTACTTGTCTGTACAAAGGCATAAAGAGATCTGTTGCCACTCTCCTCTGGATTCCCAAATCCTTCTTTCTCTTTCTTAAGCAAAGGGGAGGCTGCCTTGAAGAGGCCAGGATGTTTGCCTGATGCTCTCTGGCATGGCCTTCAGACAGCTACATGCCGAGGTGCACTGTCTGCACATGGCTGTATTAAAAACAGCAAAAGGAGCAAACGTGAGAGGGAGCACATAATCTGTGTCACGCAGGCTGGTGAGGAGAAGACATGGGTTTTGTCAAAGCCTTTGGGTGCAGTAGACAGAGCAAATGATACAGCAGTGCAACCTCTTGAGAATATCTGCACTATCAGGTTAACAAAAGAGAGAGGGAGAGGCTTGCTTTCCCTTTATAGATCAATAAAGAACAAAGTTGAAAGCTTTTGAGGCTTTCTTAGACACTAGCTCCTCAACAGTGATTCCCTGGGCTTATCCACACAACACTTCAGCAAATCAAGGCAGCAG